GAACCAGGAAGTCAGAATCCGATGAGGAACCGTTCAGGGACAAGGCAGGAGACGTAAAACCAGAAACTAGAAACAGGATCGTGACTAAACAGACGAGACTTGACATGGATGGCTAGAATATTTACTAGGTGGAACCGTTCGATAATCAGGCGCTGGATGAGTGGAGGAGTGGAGCTTAAATAAAGAGGGACACAGGTGAAAGAAATGAGTGTGATTGGGATTTCTGTGACGGGAGGGGCTGAGGCAATGAGCAGGGAGCAGGAAACTGGGTCAATGGCAGGCAGACAGAGACAGATTCATGACAATTTTGAGTCAAGTTAATCACTTGTTCAAGGATTAAATTTTAAAAGTTTCACCAAAATGTGGCTCGTGGTTCATGAGGTACTTTGAAAGCAGACTTCCGAACACGTACGAACACACTCCGACAGGAAGTGGGAAATAACGATGACAGAAAGGGTAACAGCACAGAAAGCTAGTCATGCTGAACTTAATCCCCCTCACAGCGACACTGAAGCACCACGTGGGTGTGCATGCCCTTTGTATCAGTCATGCATGGAAATGAAAGAGTATTCTCATTTAAAACCTGACATCCTACATTTCAAACTGGATTATTTTATTTTCTAATTCCCCACAAACCAAAAGATGTCTCAACCCATGCCAGGAGAAAAGATCTGAGGAGTAATACCCTCCTCTCTCAGATGAGCCATGAGGCTGCTTACCTTGGCAAATATTTCAGATGCATTAAAGGCGAAGCAGGCAGGAGAGAGAGATTTAAGACGGAAGATTAAAACGAGCCAAGAAGGAGCTCTGACAGATTTCCATATAATTGTGTCAGATCAGTGAGAGGAAACTAAAGGTTTAAGAAGATGGTAGAATGTTACCTTGTTCCACAATGCCAGCGGTGGTTCCTGAAACTCCGCTGACGGAAGCAGGGGCTGTAGTCTGCCGGCCCACTGAAACAAACAGAAGAGGATGTTAGAATGGGCTGTTTCTGCAATGAAATCAAACTTACTCTGCCTGACCAAAAAAAAGGTCACCTCTGGATTTAACTAAGGTCTATGATGTGGGGTTGCTGCAGTTGTTCAGGTCTAGGTTCAGAAACAGTTTGTGCTGAAAGAATGAGGTCAGCTGACTACCTGAATATACTGAATGACAGGTTATTCCATCAGTGGATTGTTTCTTCCCTGATGGCATGGCCATATTCCAAGATGACAATGCCAGAATTCATCGAGCTGGAATTGTTAAAGAGTGGTTCAGGGAGCATGAGACATCATTTTCATACATGGATTGGCTCCACAGAGTCCATGAGAATCTTTGGGACGTGCTGGAGAAGATCAGACTCTACCATCATCAATGCAAGATCTTGGTGAAAAATTAATGCAACACTGGATGGAAATAAATTTTGCATAAGTTTATCCAAACAAAGCCAGAGCGAATGTGTGCTGTAATCAAAGCTAAAGGCGGTCCAACAAAATATTAGTGTGCATGAACTTTTTATTTTATTTTATTATTTTTTTGGTGGTGACGTTTGTTGGCCAGGCAGTGTATTTATATGTTTTACAACAAGTTATTTCATGCTTCTGGTACATTAAAACCAAACTTCTGCCAGACAAGTTCTTTCTCTCTTAAAGGGATCCCCGATTAGTTGTAACATTAGACTTTATTTAATAAACATATATTTTAACTGTAAAATAAAGACTGTAAAAATACTGAAGGCCGTTCAGATTTTATCATTTTTAAACTAAAAGTTTAAAAAACTTTAAGCATAGCATTCTGGCGCAAAGCATTCTGGGTAAATGATGACGTGGATAGGTCCTCGGTGCGAGGCTGCTAGCGAGCTATATCCACCCTGAAGGTTAATCTTGGACAATATCTGATG